GACATTGCTGGTTCACAGCATCCCCAGTACCTTGCATGTCTAAATTCAAAGGGCAGTAACTGTGCCTTTAGCAACAGGTCATATTCCTTCACTGTACTAACAGCGTGAAGTCGGTGGAGCAGATAGACCTGTAACAGGCAGTGCTGGAATCCGCAAGGGTAATCGGGAACAGCTGATCGGCTTCCAGATGTTATCTCAGTTATTTCTTTCTGAGCTATATGTGAAATACTTCTTGAGGATTCAAATATGGAAGAGATTACCCTTCACATAATCTGTTTTTCAGTCTTCCTCAAGATGTTCTGAAGGGAAAATGAAACTGTCCTTTCTGCTAAATGGAAGCTTGCTTTGGACTGTGACCCATGCTAGCTTACTGCTCCAACAACAAAAAATAAAAATAGAGGATTGATTCTTCATGTTTGGAAATGAATATTCCAGCCCCCTATTGCTGTGCTCTTAGGCTGAAACAGATGCACTTCTGTGTTACGTAGAATGCTTTTTAAAGGGATAACTTATTAAAATGCTGGGTCAGATGGATTAATGACTGTGTATTTTTATTCCTTCAAGATCTGGCTAGTGAGGAGAAGAAGAGGCTAGAAGAAAAGCAAAGGACCGCCCGCAAAAATCGTTCAAAGTCAGAGGAAGACTGGAAGACGAGGTCAGTGTGCCTGCATGCTATGGGTGTTTTGGTATGAAAGTGTTGAACATTCAGGTGAACTGCCAGCCCATGCTGGTGGTGTGTGGTGTCAGCACGAAGCTGATATCTCAGCATTGGTGATGCTGCTGTGATATATACAGTCTGGGTCTGTGCAGGCTGCAGCACCCAGAGTCAGATGTGGTCTTGGTTCCTTCCCCCTCAGTGCTTGTGCACCCGTGTTCATACGCTAAGCATTGAAGTGTGTTGCCTTTTCTAAGTGTGAAAAAGATGCTGCTGCTGATGGCTGTTTGTAAGGACAGTTGTTAGTGGCGACTAATGTGTAATGCCTCTAATATGTATACTTGGCCAAAGCGAGAAATGAACAATTCCTTCAGTGAACTTGATGGCATATTGCCTCCAACTTCTCAGATCAGTTGCTGGGTGCTGGCAACACTGTACTCCTGCAGCATGCAGGTTTTTTGCTTTTGTTTTTTGTTTTTTTTTTTGAAGATGGTGAAATGGCTCCATCAGCTCATTCTCCATGTCATTTCTTCCTTTCCAAAACTGTTGCTAACTATAAAAGTTAGAGGAATTAAGGGAAAAGTTAGCATACAAGGCAGCTGCCAGTTGTTTTTCTTAAAAGGGAAGTCAACTGGGAGCTGTCAGGCACAACTGGCTCAATAGAAGTTGTAAAAGCACAATCAAATGAATCTTGTTTGACCAGGCAAAACCTATTCAAATTTATAACAAAAGATCGGTGGCCTCTTCACAGGAGGGAAGGAAAAAAAAAAAAAAAAAAAAAGTAGGGCTAAATTCTCTACAAGTAAGCAAACTTCATCTCTTCCCTACTTACGAACTGCTAATGCACCCAAACATCATGGATTAAATGTTTTCAAAATGTCTGTTTGTAACTATAAATTACATCTTTCTTTTTTTTGCAAATGAAGTCACTCATCATGCCAGAGTCCCAGGTTTGGTCATGTCTGACTGTTTTTCCTCTGCCTGCTTTCCTGCAGTGTTTGGGTTTGTTTGTCCTGAAACTGGTGCAAAATGACATTTTTAGTAATGCTTCTGAGTAGATGTGTTACATGAAGAACAGCCTCGCACCTCCCTCTTCCTTCCCTGAATTCGGGGGCTCTGTGTGCTTTGGTTCTGGCTTTCACCAAGTGGTAGGGATAACTACACTGTTCCTCCAGCTATCTGAAGCTCAAAGCTTGATATGAGAACTAAGGGAATTTCTAGAGCACAGTGCAAAGCAATGGTTCTCAGGATCTGTAGTCAGTGCAGAACCATTCACGAGGTTCTCCAGTTGCTGTAGAGCCAGCACTGTGCAAGTTGTCAGTGCATGGACTTCAGATTCCTGGTATCGTTTAAGAACTCCTTATTTTCCTGCGTGTCTCCAAAGTTTTGACAGAACCTTTCTTGAGTCTGATCTTTTTAGTAGGAATGCCAAGTGTGACTGCTTTCAAAAGATGAACATAAATTATGTAGGAAAAGCTCCTTTTCACTTAAATGTAGAGATGAGCCTGGGGAAAAAAGCTATTTTGTTCGGAGGCAACTCTGCTGCTGCTCCCTGAGGATCAGCCTGCAGGTCTTAACCTGAAGTGTGATGGAAACTGATGTAAACAGCTGCATTTCCCACTGGAGGACACTGTCCTGATCCATTCCAGTGCTGAAGGCAGAGCAGTGGGATCCTGGGCGTACAGCTTCCTAAGCTACAGGGTGAGGTCATTCCTTGTAGCCCTGATCCTCAGCAAGCTTACACTCTGGAATAAGCTGCTGCTCCATGTGAGCTGGGAAGCATACTGGGCCTGCACACACAGCAGTTACTTCAGAGCAACTGACATACACATCCCAAGCAAAGCTTACATGGTAGTAAACCATGTGTGGCACGAGGGGTGAGGGACTTTCACTGGCTTCTGTTAGTTTAATCAGAGCAGAAGTGCCATTCAGGTGTTTGTCTGTTCAATTTGTACCACTGTGATGATTACATGAGGAATTATTTCTGATGTGCATCTCAGATCTTTTGGATCTAGCCAGAGCCTCCTACTGGCCACCCTGCTCTTTCAGTTGGTTGTAATCACAGGATCACTGAGGTTGGAAAAGACTGCTGAGATCACCTAGTCCAACCATCAGCCCATCTGCACTGTGCCCACTAACTTGTGTCCCAGTGCCACATCCATACGGTTCTTGAACTGCCTCCAGGGACAGTGATTCTACCATCTCTGTGGGCAGCCTATGCCACTGCATCATCACTTTCTGAAAAGGAATTTCTCCTAATATCCAACCTGAATCTCCCTCTAAGCAACTTGAGGCCAATCCCTCTTGTCCTATTGCTGTTACCTGGGAGAAGAGGCCGACCCCCATTTCACCACAACCTCCTTTCGGGCAGTTGTAGAGAGCATTAAGGTCTCCCGTGAGCCTCTTCTTCTCCAGTCTGAACCATCCCACTTCACTTAAGACTGGCGCTCCAGACCCTTTATAGCTTCATTGCCCTTATTTGATCCTAATGTATTTTCATTTCTGCTCTGAAAAGCAGAAAACCTAGAAAGATAGAGCGAGTTAAAAAAATGCACATGCATGATTTACATCAGTGTGTTTGCTGCAGTGAGGCATACATGCAAGAACTGGCCTTTGTGGCCACCGAAGTGCAGAAAGGAAGCACTGGAGCATATATTAACCACTAGAGCTGCTTGCAAGCTGCCTGGTGCTGCCAACACAGCATGGCAAAACACAGTAAAAACTTAAACTACTGCTTGTCCTCTGGGGTCTGCTGTTGAGAGGTAAAAGATTGAGCCAGACCCAAACAGCAAGCTGTGCTCAGTTATGCTGCATGATGTAACTGCCAGAAATAGGCATGGGTGAGGAGGAAGGAGGACAACCTTCTGTGCCACGGTGCTTTGATGACTGTCCTCCCCACTGGGAGTACTGCCAGCAGTCCGGCCTTGTGAGGTGACACCCTACTTTGTTGACTGTGCTATGTAAGTGCACGGCTTTCCTATGAGGGAGGAGAAGAGGGGAAGAAACCAGCATGTGCAAGAGTTCAGTGTGTCAATGAGCAGCCAGCGTAGAAGCTGGCACGTAACTTAGTGCAGCTGGATCAGCCCTTTGGGCATTCATGTTGGCCCCTCAGCGCTAACAGTGGATGCAACACCATCATGCTTTAGTAAGCCACAACTTTTCCTGCAGCCTGGGGGTGATGTTTCATCTACACTGAGGGTAGTGAACACACTTGTTCTCAGTTGGCATGTTGCAAAACAAGGCTTTGAGACGCTGGAGGAAATCTAGATCCTGGGGAAATGGTGTTTTTCTGTTTTCAGGACTGCAGTGCTCGTGGTGTTCACGTCATGAAGACACTGTTATTACTTATGCATGCCAAAATGATGGTTCACAACTGCTTTGAAGTGTAACTGTAGCTATGCTTTCTATGTGAGAGTCTTGACTGCTCCAAGTGGGACAAAATGTTGGTATCAGTAATGTCACCTGGGAGCCATTGGAGTGCTGTTGGAATGGGGAAATCTGGCTCGCAAACAACACGTATTTAAGATTTTAAACTAAGAGGAGTCCTGTATTCATGGTAATTACTTTGAACAACAACAGCTGAAGATGCAGCAAAGCAGTTCTGAACTACAGCAATGTATGGATAGCTTTGGTAACATGCTGAATGTTTCCTTACAGATGGTTCCATCAAGGCCCCAATCCCCACACCGGCACACAGGACTGGCTCTATTCTGGCAACTACTGGGACAGAAACTACTTTAATTTGCCTGATATTTATTAAAACGCAATAAGAAGCCTGTGGCTGATACAAATAAGTCTTAATCTGTTTTAATGTTTTCCCTCATTTTACTTACCTCCTGAAAGAACTAACATGTTATCCAACAGAATATTACGCATCTCCGCAGTAAATCTGGCGGTACGTGACTGCGGTCCTTTAGGTAGGGGATGAACTGTTTTGGCTGGCAGTGGGTCCTACGTGGACAAAGTCAGCAAGTCACCATGATGTACAGCTGCCTGGTTTGCTGAATACACCTATATTAGGTCGTGGTGTATGAGGAACGGAACACCTTGGCTGTTCTGTGGATACCTTCTTTCGTAGATAACATTGGCACAAGCAAAACTGGTTTTATTTATTATGACATGGGAATGTCTAAAAGCACACAAAGTCATTGCAATATTCTGTTCTTAAAGCAAAGAAGGGTGTGTCACTTTTGTACAGAGGCAATTTTTCATAAAGCAACTTTTCTTTTACTGAAGTAACTCCCTTCAATCCTGAGCTCTGGTCAGAGCTCCCAGAAGCGCGCCCATCTCTGGAGCCTTCATGCAGTTGTTTAAGCTGGTGACGTTACTCAGAGGTATTTATTCAATATTTTGTGCAGTGTGTTTTGAATTTTGCTCTCCTTTTTTTGCTACAAGCCTTATGGTTTAAGGAATTAAGAGCCATTTAAACACCTATGGATTGGATTTCAACTGCACACTAATAACAGGTTTGAAAAGAATCTGTTCAATGCACTATGAGTTCTGGTGCCCAGCACCACTGCAAACAGGCAAGAAGTGGATCAGTCTGGGACCCGGTGGGACTGTCTGCACAGTGCAGGCTGCCTGGAAGGAAGCCTTGTGCATCTCAGAGGTAGGAAGGCACTTCAGCGAGGCCTCCTGTGCACAGCTGCTTTAACCCTTTTCAGTGGGGTGCATTCAATCTTAAGAGTGTAAGTTTACACTGAACTGTGTACAGAGCTTCTAGAGGGCGAGCTGTTCCTTGTACAATATTTTAACTGCTGTCTGGAGGTTAGTGTTAATTGAATAATTTAATTGCTACTAAATAAAGGCTTCAAAACTTCTTGCATCTAGTCTAAAGTGAATGGTGTTTGACAGTGGTGACCCTTTCTAAGCCGGCCTCCGAAGTTGCTGCAGTGATGCTGGATAGTGTGCTTCAGTGACCTCTCTTCCTTCCAGTAGGAGCAGTCTGGTGCCAGGAGCAGGGGCAAAGCATTCATTCTGAGCGTGCAGTGAGCCCACTGCTCAAGCCTTGAATGTGGACTAGTGGAACAGCTACAAAGGCAGTGAGATGCTTTCTGTTTTTATTCTGTATGCAACTAGAATTACCCAGGTAGGGCAGTGGTACTGGAGCCATCTGCACAGATGAGGAGAAATGCTTTTTTTTTTGGCTGTGCGTTGCCTGGTTCTTATGGTGAGGGCAAAAATTGGATACCTCATCGCTTCTGCACTCAGGTCTTCACTGTGGCCAGCATTTCAAGTCTTACCCTCAAAGTTGCCCAGCTGTTAAGAGATTTTGAGAGCTGTTGTGTCAGTTCTTCAGCATGCCATCCATAATGGAACATTCCACTCTAAGAAAAACAGAGCATTTAGTTCCTGCCTTCCCCAGAAGATTTAAGAAGAAAACCTCTACTCAACATCAGGTTCTCTTTTGAGGGATTTTTGTTTCCTAAGAATGGATTTTTCTTTTTTCTACTCATTAATACTCTGAGATTGGTGCCTGATGTAATGACAGTCTGTGCTGCACTAGTGTAACTTTCTGCAAGGACATTTATACCTGTGTGCTCAGCCTTGGCTTGTCAGCCTTTTTTTTGCAGCCATACATCATCCAGAGGGATGATATAGCAGCAGTTATCATGGCCTTTTTCTCATCAGCTGGGCTGACAACCAGGACTGGGGCTCCAGTGAGTGTCCTAGCACCTGCATCTTGCTGTGCAAAGACACAGCTAATAGAGTTACAGTCCTGGATGTTATTTAACAGTAGAGCCCATGAAAAGGAAAGGTGCAGCATTTTCCCTTTTTTTTTCTTCTTGCATCGCATAAATTGAAGCAGGTGCTTATGGCAGATTTTTGAGCTCATTTCAAATATTTAAGTTAGACAAGAGAGGGCCAAACATTAGAAAATAGTGGTGGTTGTCCTGCTCCACTTGATGCCACGTCTACAACAATAAAAAGGCAAGAAGGTTAATAGCAGAAACAGTGAATTCCAGATAGAGACTGCAAGTCTTTCTATCTAAATCAAGCATAGCTGCACTTGGTAGAAGCAAGCATGTTAGAGAAGAGATCGGGGATAGAAAGGCAGTTTTGTACACGGCTGCCATAGCTACAGCCTAGAAAAGCAAAGTTACTTATGGTCAAGAGGTTCTGCTGAGCAAGCACTTGAGAACTCACCTATTTGACTAGTATTTTTGAAATTGTGTCTCTCAAACTTCCCCCAAAGCGTTTGTTAATAAGCCAATATTTTTCATTTACAGTCTGCCTAATCTCAATTTTCCCCTACACCATTCTTTACTGATACCTCACAGCTGTGCTGGGACAAGACCAGGAGACCTGGGACTGGGGACCTCCACCATGGAGTGTTTCTCCAGCTGGGCAAAGGCTGAGCTGGGCACATTAACATAGAGAAGGGCTGCTTGTGAGGGCCCCACCAGGAAACGTGAGCACCAGTTTTCTTCATGGCTGCAAACCAATTGGCCTCTTTGGTCCAGCTGCAGAAACTCACCAGACTCACCAAGACAGCACAGGCAACCACCACCATTTTTTATTTTTTTTTTTAAGTGGTAAATCTCACATTAGTGATAGACAGGATATCATTCAAGAAAGTAATCAAAACCTGTTGCACCTTTAGCAATAGTGCAGATGTATTACATCTGAGTACCCAGTATCTGTTTCATATGCCTTGTTTTGAGCAGAACTATTAGGAATCAAGGGCCCCCTTCCCATCACTCTTATCTGTATTTACCCATGGGAATGCAGGATCTTGCCCAGAGCTAGTCCCATTTCTTGACAGATTGCAGAGAGCTCTAACACACGTGCACTGGGGCCAAGCAGATGGCATTCATACAGCAGTTTCTTAGAAGCCATTGCTGCCATGTATTGCACCGATGAAGGTGCTTTTCCATTGCATGAAGCTGAAGGGCTGGGAAGATGACAAGGACCCAGACTTTCTTACCTGAAGCAACAAGCTTGCTCAGTTGATTCCATCTGTGCTATGCCTTCCATTTGCTCAGGCTGGAACACTGCATCATTAGCAATCAGCCATGAGACCTGGCCTGCGTTTAATGACAGCTTTACAGAAGAAAGAGCTTGTCCACTAAAGGAAAGGATTATTTTATCTGGAAACTGCTGCGTGTAGGAAGGAACCTCTGCATCCGTTATCAGTTTATCACTGGTTGAAATGACCTTAGTTGCACTACAGGAAGGCACAGCCTGCAACTCTTCTTTAGAAGGTTGTGGTGGTGGAAGAGATGAGAGTCCTTCCTGCAGGTGGTCTGAGGAAACCTGATTTGTATCAGTTGTTGAAACAAGGACCTGGGTGTTGGAGGGTCCTAGTTCTCCACTCATGGAAGACAAAGGCTGCACTCCTAGTTGTGACCTAGAAGCCTCAGCTGCCGAGGCAGCAGAAACATCTTCCTGAAGAGTCTGCACAGTGGTTGCCACATCCCTCACAAGACAAACAGAACCACTGCTATCATCCACCTGGGCAGGGAGCTGGGCAGGGTCAGAAGGCACATACTCAAGTTCAGATCCTTCAGGGGATAAAGCTCTGTCAGGTCCAGTGGGATGCATGCTTTCTGGAACAGAACTGGTTGGTGATGGGCACAGAGTTACTCTGGAGCTACGTGAAGTGAGGTCTTCAAGATGATCATCTTCCTCTCTGTCAGTACACGATTCCTTTCTCTGGGACTCAGTAAAAAGCAAAGCCTCATTATGATTTGATGTCTTCTCTTCCTGTTCCGCATTCCAAGTTTCTGCAAAGAAATTAATTAAATAAATAAAAAATAAAAGGCAGAGAACAAACACCTAATGGCAATGTATTAGCACATGTTTCCATTTAAGTGAAGATTGATTTCAGCCTAGTCAATCAGATGTTCTACAGCACATTTATGAAGCTTCCCGAGAGGAAGTTTGTTGCTTCCTATTAGGAAGGTGAAAGAAAACTCAGAAAGCACTGGTACCACTTCAAAATCATGGGCTCCTTAACTGTATGCCCAACCCTGCAGCGGTGGCTATGTTCTCACACACTGCACAGAGTTTATGTGCCTCTTTCACAGGTCTAGGTACAGTTGAGATGCAGCCCACATAAGTGAAAACTACTTGCAACCACTCATGTTGGAACATCATCTGAAAATACTCTAGGAGAACAGACAACAATTATCTTACCCTGCTTAAGATCAAATTTTTCAACCACTTCTGTTAAAACCAAATCTGGATTCTCTGAAAACAGAAGCACAAATTAAGCTGGAGTTAAATATGCATTCCAAGAACTTATGCTATTCAGGTAAGGATTGGTACGAACAAACCTTTTTGGAAGTCAATGAACTCTTGGAAATAGGAAGCTAAAAACCCAGCAATGTCTTCTGGTTTCTGTTTTATGACAGCTCTGCTCACACCCTCAAGCAAAGTCTTGAGGCAGCTCAGAACATTGTCTGGAGGCTCCATTGTCACACTCTGAGGACGGCTCACAGCTTCTCATCTGCAGCAAGAAAATGCCTGAGCTGAGCACCTGCACATCCCTGTGGGATTCCAGCAGCACCACGGCAGTGGCCTAGGCCACCACAAACCTTTCTCCAATACTCCCCAGTGCCACTTTCCCATAAAGAATCCAATCAGTGACACCCCCCACGCTGGCTTTTCACGTAGCAGGAAGTCTGAATGGCCAGCAAGCTAGGAAACCATAATGGTAATTCAAAAAATACCCTATTTCCAAAACAGACAAAAAAACACCAACATCACCAGAACAACCTCTTCTCCCTCCCCCATGACATGACAAAAGACAATTACCTTAAAGCAAGGATTCTCAGGGCACACCTGCCATCCCCACACCACCCTGGTGCCTGCTCCCACTGCAGCCTCTCCTGCCCAGGGCTGAGCAGAGTGTGATGTCACAGTACTCATGCATCATACCCATTGACATCCTTCTTCTGAAAACTGTCAGAACTCTGGGTCTGTGAAACTGCACAATAAAAGCTTTCGAGATGTTTAGATACAGATATTATAAAAACAGGGAAAAGTATAACTAGAGCTCAGAAGCAGAAGCAGAAGCAAAATCCAGCCTAAATACTTATAAAAGCTTCAGTCACTAACAAACGCATCTGTTTGAAATGGAAGAGCACAGCATAGGAACTCACAGGAAAAAAAAAACTGACTGGGAACCCATTCACTGTACCGGAACTTGAATGCCATTTTTGGAAGCCATCTTAAGAACAGTACCAGCTGCTCTACTAAAACACACTGGCCTTGGGCCCAACGCTGGGAAGCCTGTCAGCCTAACTGGAGACAGTCACCTCATCCCACCAGCCTTTGACCCAGATGCAGAAGTGACAGTTTCTAGACAATGTTAAAGTCTTATGTGAGCTAGAGACTAATTGATAGACAGAAGTTCAGTGACTTAAGGTCCCAGATAAGCTTTCTGCTTCTGAGAAGAAAAATCAGTTTGTTATTAGCTCTTCATTAAGTACAATTTACAGAAGATAAATCACACTGGTTAGAAGTTATTTTTTTCCCCCAATATGTTACACATTGATCTGAATGAAACAGGGATGGGTGTTACGCAAATGTTTCTTGCTCAACTGAGTCTAGCAATCTCCCTTTCTTCCTCTACACCACTGGAACTTTGTCTTGGAAGAAGTCACATCAAAAGACAAGACAATATTTTGGAAAAAGTGGCAATCAAAAAGTTTGGGGTAATAAGAAAACAAACAGAATTGTCTGTGGCTAAAACACTGGTTAAAATACAGGGACTAAGTAGGTCGTGAAAATCTTGGGTGATAAGGCAAAGATTCTGAGCAGGAGCATGAAGCAACACCGCCTACTCTGGTGACCTTCACTGGGTCCCAGTTGGGGCACCCAAACTTGTTAAAAAAATAAAAATGCAGTGAAATAGGAGCAGCTCAGTATTTAACTCCAAAGAGTTCCTGAAGTGGAACTCGTATCCTTGTATAATCCCACCTTATCTCAAAAGACTTGTAGAAGGCTGGTTTTTGAAGTCTTTTCTACTTACCTCAAAACATCAGGATGAAAGACAATGTTGTATAAACATCTACAAAAACTCTCATTAGCAGAGTTTTGTTTGACAGCTCTGTCAGGATGACAAAGTAGAGGCAGTGTACCTGTACTGCTTACTCCCAAAGCTCAGTGTAGTCTACCACTTACATTACAGACTGCCTCTAGAACCTCTGCTGATCCAATGACAAACATGCTCATGCATATTCAGATGCCAGTGGCTGCCCAATCCCCTTCAAAGACAGCTAAAAATATAACTTCATAATATTAGCTTTAATCTTCTGTTTTTGTGACTGCACAGTTCTTCATGCAATGATTGCTACCACTGTTAATATGAGTATTTAATAATGGCTGGAAAAGGAATTCAAATTTTGTATGTGACGCTCTGCTTTTACTCACTGAAAAGTTCTAACATCACCCTTGTAAAACCCCATACAGCTCTACATGACTGTAATACTTACTGTTCAACTTTCAGATAGCTACAATGCAGTTTGGAAGCAAGAACATGATCAGCTGTTGGGAAAACAGCCAGACTGCTGTAAACTGAAAACAATTCAGTACCACATTTGGGGAGTTTTATTTCAGAATAAAGCATAGCTTTATAGGAATAGCAAACAATCAGAGACAGGAGAAATTAAAGGGTTTGCTTTAGAGTAACTTAGAAGCATTTTTCCAAAGTGTAGGGATACAACAAACACAACTGTGTTGGGTTCTCTTAGAAGTATGTTAAACCTCATTCGTTCTGTGGTTGGTCTCAACATCACACATATAACTCACTTTCTAAGCCAGGGGACTGATACTGTACTGGAAGAGCAGGAGGTGAGGTAATTACTGACTAGAAAGCTTTCTTACAGTCACTTGACATCCCAGAAGTTTTTCCAGTGCTCAACACCACCTTGTTGAGGAAGCCACCAGTTTGAAAGACAAATTCAAGGAGCCAGGGAACAAAACGCATGTCCACGTTTCTTTTAATTTTACTCAGAAATATAAAAGTGCAAGTTCTGTAAATTAACAACATTTACAGTACGTCACAATAAATATGCCACTTTGTGACATCTATAAATTCTAGTTATTTATTTGAAATGAGTCATATTGAGATAAAAACTGCATCAACATCAACAAAAAATACCTGACTCAGTAAAGATATTCTTAACATGTTAACTAGCAAGATGCATATTCTGTTATTGCTATTAGACCATGCCTCCGAGTTCCAAAGTATAAAAACATATCGGTTTGCACAAAATACAGTTGAAATTTTTCTCATCACAGGCACAATCTAACATAAAAAACAAATGTGACATTTATAAAGCAGGAGATTCTCCTACGGAGGGAGAAAAAAATTACAGAAACCAATGGTTCCATTTCAGTGATGATTTGCTAAATCCACAGAAAAGCTGCAACTTGCACAGAGTTAAACCTTTACAGGAATATATAGTGTCTTTTTGGACTCCCTCTTGGCCCAGTGAGCAGAACAGGCCTTGTAATCAAGTTTACTACAATTTGCTAGCTACCTCCAACGTTTGTAGACCCCAGACATCCTAACACCAATCACATGCAGGTGCTTTGTGTCCTGAATAGCCTAGGCTCATGGTATACTTAAGCAGTGTGTTCGAAAGGAATTTTGCCATTAAATGCAATGTTTCTATCTATTTATCCAGAGTGGACTGTGTCCCTGACACAAAATATTAAAAGGTAGGACAAAATAAAATGTCAAGTATACTGAAGACATTTCTTGAAAATTATAATTTGGATTCTAAGAATTTACTATGTATATACAGACACAATATATTGTTCTCTATTCAATACTTATTTGGATTGACCAGTTCAAAAAAGGTTGAACACTCCTTTGTGATTCAGTATTACTGATTAAGTGGAATAGAAAAGCTGACAGCATCCTATCTGCAACACACCTACAGTTTAGAAAAATAAAGTCTCTTCTCCTTCAGGAACTGCAATAGAAGAGTGTAACTGCTCTAGAAGTGCAACCAATTTCCTTTGGCCTACCAAATCCAGTATTACTTTTCTCCTCCATGTCAGTCTTGCTTTAGATGCAACCTCAAAAGCAAATCAATGAAGGTTCTATGTGGGGCAAGGTATGAAACCTTGGCAACACAGCAACATCTTCTGCAACAAGTTAGAAAAAGAAGCAAAACGTTTAAGCTAAGGAACTGTTTAAGGCAACCTGACCAAAGTAAAGATAAGGCTTTTCAAAAATTATTTTTGAAGATATCCAGTTTTCTTGGCTTTGCAAAGTAACACAATTCAATTAACTTCCTGGTCAGATTTCCACTGATAAAAGTTTCTTAAAAAAAAATACATAAATAAATACATGCCTTCGTTACCTTCTAGGTAATGATACTAACTGAATATACAACATAGGGAGATGCTACAGACAAAATGTTTTTGTGTTTTTTTGTTTTGCTTTTTAAAAATCTACAAACAAGGATACAGATGGCCAGTATTAAAAACAATATACATATATGGGATCCTGGTGTAAGTTTCAAGCTCTCAGAGTGTCTTCAGTAAGTCAACTTCAAATGTCAACGCCACAAATTTGGAATATCATGTAGAGACTTAAGATAGCACAGCATTGGTAAAACTACAAAAACAGGGTTGGAGGTGGGTGGTGGGTGTACTGTTTTGTCTGATTTAATAGCTGTAAAAGTCACTGCCATAAAGGTTTAGCAGCTTCAATGGAAAACACGTAAAATTACTGTATGTGGCCTACTTATCTGAATGCACCGGTCAGAATATTAAGAGCAAATTGAAAATCGCCCTCACTATGATTACATGCAAAGCAAAGTGTTTGGCTGGAATGTACCAGAAGCCAAGATCTTAAGTGTTGATAGAATTTGTATCAGAAGTATGAGCCGTGCTGAGAAGGAAGCAACAAATAACAGAAAGGGAATGGGAGGTTTTAAATTGGCAAATTATTCATCATGAATTCACTGAAATAAATCTCTAAAATTCAGCAAGATCTGCTCTTTGTGGCTGAACGGTTTTCCTTCTTTTGTGTTTTGGCTAATGCTTCAAGAAAATACTTGTTCTGCCCATTCCCTTCTTCAACATCTGTACCAACTACTTTTATCGTATTCTAATCAAAACAGAAACACCCCCCCCTTTAGCATATTTTAGATTTAGATCTGCTTTAAAACTTTAAAAATAAAAAAAGATCCCATCTGCCAACATTGAAGTAAGCTGTGTGCTTATTTAGGCTCTCCTGATGAGTCACTGAATAACCGTGTTCCCCTCGGTTTAAACAAACTAAAAAGTGAAGAGTTAAAATACGCAAGGTCACTTAACCTTCTGCTTGGTTGATTTACTTTCAGTTGAAATTGTAGTATTTTACTAAGCCATACCAACTCCTAACCACATGATGAAAGTGTCTCTGGCACAAGTGGTTTCCAGAAGAAAAGCTGGTCTTCCCAACAGCTTTTTTTCTTCTGCTTCATCCTAAAGTGCAGAAACTGTGGGAATGGACAACACAACTTGCTGTTTGTCACTGTGGAACAACTTCCCTTAGAGAAGCTAAGGCTGCATGGATGCGGACGTGCAATCTGTTCTCAAAGTCATAGCCTGTAAATTCCTCCTGAAATTAAAAAAAAAAAAAAAGCATGCAAATATTAGATTCCTTCATTTTAGGATATGAAAATAATTTCACTAATAATGATTAAGAAGTCAAGCTACAAAACAGACTGAAGAGATGAAGTGGAGACTCCATATTGCTATTCATATCTCTGGCTTACAGAAGTTCTAAGTTGGCAAAAAGAGCAGAAAGCTTCAATTTTCAGTGTGTTGTTTGGATCCTATTCAGTTTAACAGTACCTGGAAAATTATGCAAGTCTTATAGCTCAAGAAAGATCCCAACACCAAAGACCAAAGTCAGGGACCAGAGGAACATGTATGAAGGAGAGAGCTGCAGTTTCCAAACTTCTACTGCTGAATCTTTGCCAAAAAATATGGCAAAGTCATAACAGTCCAGCAGAGGTCACTATTGTGAGCTCTAATGACCTATAAATACGTATCTACGAAACACAAATGCACTTCATATACATAAATATGTACCTACAAAGTTAGCATTGTAGATTAAAGGTGATGGACAAGGACAAAACAAACAAAACAACCAACCAACAAATCAAATCACCACAACTTCTCAGACACCCTCCTCTGAGAACAGTTAAGTGTGAAGTGCCTTAGTTTTTACCTTGGCTTGGAGAAGTAAGGTCTTGCCTCTCGGCACGGTCTGCAAAAGGAAAAGACACTGCATTAGAATTGCATTGCAAATGTTGCAGCATGTATCTCAAGTATACAGCCTAGTCAGACTAGAATAGCATCTCTACCTTGAAAACAAGGCATTATTTCTTATTATAGAGTACTCCTTTAATTTAAAGTATTACAAATAAATAAACAAATAACATCTACAAAACAGTTTTTATTATTGACGTAGCCATACTAAAATCTCACATAATATGGTTCTAACCGGGTTAATTTAACAAAGATGAATCAGATCGTATGACAGATCCAACATGTAATTATGAGTCATTTCAAAGTAACATACATTTAACAGAAGTGTGCTTTCTATATGCATAGTCTTCAATACACTTATCCTCTCTAGTAATGATAATTTATAAAATTCTATTCCCATCTTTTTCACAATCATTATAGAGCTCTCAAATATGAACTGCACGATATCTCAAGCTAGTGAGTGCAATCTTCTAAAAACAGCACCACTTACCTCTAATTCTAGCTCCTTTTCCCCACCCAACCCCATCTCATGTAACACAAGCAGTATTTATTCCCTCACCAAGTGCCACAAGAAGTGGCTTCCTTCACACACTAAGTGCTATCTACCACAGCTTCTCAGCAGCAGCTACAAGCCAAGGCTTATTCAGCCCTGAAACACACAACGTGAAGCCTGTTAACTGTGTGCAAATGCTATATATAAAGCAAGAAGGAAAGAGAAAACGCTCCTAATTCTCAGAACCTTCAGATAACCTCACTACCTGCCACCCTTCTACTTAGCAGCAGTTACAACAAGTGTAAACTTGTTGGTGAGAAGGAATAAATAATAAATACAGTGCTTTGCTCATCAAAATCATATAATACAATGGCCTGGGTTGAAAAGGACCACAAAGATCATCTGATTTCAACCCCCTGCTGTGTGCAGGGTCACCAACCAGCAGACCAGGCTGCCCAGAGCCACATCCAGCCTGGCCCTGAATGCCTCCAGGGATGGGGCATCCACAGCCTCCTTGGGCAACCTGTTCCAGTGCATCAAATTCTTGCTTCAGTGCTGACTGTCCATAAACATCACAGCTACAGAAAGACAGAAGGTTTGCACACGTTTATCTTACTGCTACAGAATCAGGAATGTAGCAACTCTGAAGAATCCCAGAGTCTAATGATTCATGTACAAATAAAACCCAGTAACAACTAAGTATTGCGTTACAGTGTTACCAACAGATATATTAAGCTTCTCACCCATCAACTTTGTTTCCTTGCTTGTACAGTGCTGTGCTGATTCTGCCCCACATTTATTATATATATATTTTTTCACAGAGTTTAAAAATAGGTGATACCATTACCTCTGGATTGTCTAATAGAAGACAGCCAAGCTCATAGCAAGCATATGGCTGGATGTACAAGTTGTTTTGACGGCACAGCTCATCTTTAGCAGCCTGCTGAAAGTACTATAATAAGAAAAAAAAAAGACTGAAATAACATCTTAAAATAGAAGATCACTTAAAAATCCAAAAGTACCTCTCAATTTCAAGCATTTGAAATTAGCCAAAGTAACATGAGAATATGTTAACATTTCCAATGGTGCAGATTCTTTAAGCAAGGACGGGGAGGTTTTTGCTAACACTAATGAATCAAGGCAGAATTACTAGTTTGCTTTTTTTTTTTTTTTTTTTTTTACAAGCAATAAGTGGACCATGTCAAGGTTTTTTTTCAACATTATATTTGAAACTATTAAGACTAACAAGGAACTTTAACTTTGGAGATTAAGTACACGGATTATTTCAACTACTTCTGAGGGCGGGGTGGGAGGGAGATGTAGTAGCATTAGTAGCATGTAGTAGTTAGAATTCATATAACAGACTGATCAATAGATTGAAAATTAGCAGTTTGCTTAACAAACTTCCTCAACAGTATTTACTGATTAATAAAATTATAGTTCATAAAATACAACTGACGGTATAATTAACAACTTACCTGAACAGCATCTTCAGAATTTCCCAGGCATTTGTGTATGGCACCGAGAAGCAAATTCCTCAAACCAACAGCTGATGAATCATCAACATCCTGACAAGCTTAATGAAAACATTCCAATAAACAAACAAGATGGATTGAAATCTGTCCTCAGATAAGAATTGCAATCTACAGTGATTTTTTACTCTAATGACCAAATTCGAGCAGAAACTGTGAGATGCCAGTAACAATCAATGTCAAAGTAATTTAGTTTCCTTTAAATACAACCCATTTTGTGTCAATCTCATCAAGCAATCTGTCACTAATGTAATAATTCCTGTCAGGAATGAATTGGCCCTCTGAAGTCACAAGCAGTTGGTGCATTCCTCTCACATGAAGAGAACACATTTCTCCATTTGTCCTTGAATGATCAGCTAGAAAGGTAAAGTTAAGAAACAATCCATTCCTCCTGGTGCTACTGGCAACTGGGTTGTCTCCCAGGCATTGAAAGAAAAAACGTGCAGTCCGTGGTTCAAGGAAAACAGGGCAAAATATCCAAACATTTCAGATACACTTTATCTGTTCTGAACCGAAGGCAAGTGACTGACACAGGAATCCACACTAGATGTACAACTCCAGATGAGAGAATTCTGGCATCACAATTCCCAGTGCTGATGAGTAGCTAAGGCTAATTGTTGGGCCAGACTGTGACTCAGCTGCATAGCGCTGTATTCACTGATGCACATAACCATAACTGAATGAATCAGGCTCCATTTTAATCAGGCTTATTAGCACCAATTCAGAACAGCTGTTACATCAAGGCTAGTTCCACAAGGAACCATTTGCACCTGTCTGCACCATTGCTTCTACAGACCCCAGTAACATGGGTGCCTACAGGTATTTTCAACCCTCAAAAGGAGCTCTGGGAGTCTGGGAACAGTAGAGCTCCTTTAACTTCACGTTCTGCCTCATGTAATAAACTCTGCTTGATTTAAACCAGTTCTGCAGTCACCAAATAACCCACCTATGAATAACTAAGGATTGGCTACACTAAGTATTTGGACACAAAAGTAGCACTGTTGAGTCTCATTTTTATTACAAGTCTCAAGTTACTTGGTATTTTACTTACAAAGATACACGTGGATACAGCTTAATCCCTACAAACCAGAGCTCCTAGCCCCAAGGAAAAGCCCTCAGAAAAGTAAACACTGATCAAGAAGAGAGGCAACAAAGTTAAAAAAAACCAAAAAACTCCATCATCCAGTCATTGCTGAGATACAAATAATGTATAGCAACATTTTTGCTGAGCAAAAAGCCTACCACCAAGGACTGCTGATGCAGACCCATCTGTCAGCGTCAAGCCTTACAAGAAGCTTATCTCTGAATTTTAATCCATATTGCTATGTCACATTAAAATGTGCACCACCAGCTGGGAGCTTATAAGAAAGATCTATATTGCTTTTGAGTATGCAGGACAGAAGCATCAACTGTTTGCAACCTTTAAAATGGACTGTTCTACTGGAAAACTACAGAAAAAAAAAATACTAGAGCTTATTTTTACATGATTAAATCTGATTTCATAAGCTTCACGATTATGTTTTGGGACTAGAAAATTAGGGATACTTCTGCAACTGTTACCACACAATTTAAGTGATTGTAGCAAACGGCATACCTCACTTAAAATAAATAACTGTATCAAGAATCTGTATAATACCTTGGCTCATATGCTGCAGGTTGGAGAGGGAACAGTTTGGAAGGGCTTTCCATAAGTACAGTACTTCAATGGATGCCAGGACACAGAGCTCTTTGGTTGGCATTTGCTTTCTGAATCTATCTGCCTGCAAATTGGAAAGGAAGAAGAAAGAAAGATTTGTCATCTACCCTTCTACAAAGAACACGATACTCATAAACAGTTTATCAAATAGTAACTGCTGCATGAAAGCATTCAACAATTTCCTTAAAAATAATCTTTGGCAAGTTAAAGTTCAGACTATTAAAAAAGATTTTCTATTTAATTTAAGGATTACATGTTGATAAAAAGCAAAGCTTTTTTATTTGCAGCCTAAATTTGTTCTCTTCTGTTTCACAATCCCAAATATGTACTGATGGCATGCTGACATTGCAACATCTGAAAATCCTAAATTGGGTGATACTCACAAGACAAATTTGGCTTTCAAAAAGAATCATGGTTATGACATAAAAAGATAAAGAGTAGGAAAAACAAATCTAGAGAGAAAATCACAATTATAGAATGCTTTGGGTTGGGAAGAGACCTTTAAGATCATCAAGTTCCAACCCTCCTGCTATAGGCAGGGATACATACCTCTAGACCAGGTTGCTCAAAGCCCCATCCAGCCTGGCCTGAGACCTTCCTTTGTGTATCTGTATCTTTAATATTTATTTCAGCTGAAAAGCCAATTCACATTTTGTTTACCAAGTCTTTAAAATATATGACACTACTTTTGTTTCCTCCCCTGAATCCTTCCCGTTAATGCAACAAAAGCAAAATAGGAGAAAATGGATACTTCATTCAAAAAACAAATAATGGTAAAGAATGAAACACAATGATCAAATTACTGTTCTGAAACACGTCAGCTTATGCTAAACCAAACCTTTTTCACTGAAAATTGCTCGATCTGATTATTTTTTCTTTTGAAAAGCTTCTGAACTTCCTTGAACACATTCTGAGCACCATTGACATCTCCAGTGGCTCCTTGACAAACTATGATACAGAAACAAAAATGTGTTAACTGCTGGGATTAAAAAAACGGGAAGGGAAGGGAAGGGAAGGGAAGGGAAGGGAAGGGAAGGGAAGGGAAGGGAAGGGAAGGGAAGGGAAGGGAAGGGAAGGGAAGGGAAGGGAAGGGAAGGGAAGGGAAGGGAAGGGAAGGGAAGGGAAGGGAAGGGAAGGGAAGGGAAGGGAAGGGAAGGGAAGGGAAGGGAAGGGAAGGGAAGGGAAGGGAAGGGAAGGGAAGGGAAGGGAAGGGAAGGGAAGGGAAGGGAAGGGAAGGGAAGGGAAGGGAAGGGAAGGGAAGGGAAGGGAAGGGAAGGGAAGGGAAGGGAAGGGAAGGGAAGGGAAGGGAAGGGAAGGGAAGGGAAGGGAAGGGAAGGGAAGGGAAGGGAAGGGAAGGGAAGGGAAGGGAAGGGAAGGGAAGGGAAGGGAAGGGAAAAAGATCAGACATCAGAGTTATGAGGAAAAAAAAACATGCACTTCTGCAAAGGACCTAGAGCAGGACTTGATGAACACAGAAATCCCAACTCTCCCAGATCTGAGATCATTAACAAGCTCTGTATGTTTTCCATACCCATTAAAGGACACAGTATCACCTAACACCTAAGGATTTATTAAGTAAATCTTTTCAATATGCTGTCAGCTTAGCAATAGTCATGTAATAATCATATCTGGAGGGCAAGGGCATATATACACATGCATAACAAATTGCATAAACAAAGTTACGTAAGTACAGTCTGATAGCTGCATAAGCAGCAGTGTGGAACACTCTAAGAGCACAAGTCAACACCGAAAGTACCACATCACATCACTGATTTATCACTTGCAACCATTACTGAATACTCACCTGCTGTTAAATAAGCGTAATAGCACTGAGACCACCTGGATTCATTCTTAAGCCTTTCAAAGGACTCAAAGGCATCTTTGAAATTCATCTCTATCATGCTGCACCAGCCTAAAAGAAACCAACTTAATGAAAGCACAGTAATTCAAACTTGGTGTAAACATTACTGAAAAATACCACCTGCTTACGAGAGCTGGAGCTGGCTTAACAATTATACCAGTGACTGGAAAATTTAAAACCAAAACTAATCAGTAACACATTTTAAATCTTGTTTAAATTAACTGCAAAGTATTGAGTTATTCGTGCTGTACAAAACAAGGAAACCAATTCACACTAACAGCAAATCTAAACAGTCACCAAAAGCTCCTCCTTAGCTACTACCAGCTCCCTTATTCTTCTTTAACCAGACACATTTAAAGCTTCTCTACTATAAAGATTTCCATGAAAATTAAAAGCAGAGAAAAGAATGACACTTTCTGATGATGTTAGTAATTTCCTTCCATCAGCAGCATAAAATGAAATACAAAATATAGGTCCTGCAATCTTTGAAGCTCCATTAGAATCTTTTCATTTTTGACACAGAAACAGGGGTTCCATTTTAAATAATCTTCTGCAGGTGAACAGTTTCAGAGAACTTGAAAATTATAAACAATTGCTGATTGTTACTCAACCAAATAAGACAGGATGATTTGATGGTCACAGGGCTGGAGCACATCTCCTATGAGGAAAGGTTGAGGGAACTGGGTTTCTTTTAGCTTGGAAAAGAGAAGGCTCCAGGGACACCTCATTGTGGCCTTTCAGTATTTGAAGGGAGTGTATAAGCAGGAGGGGGAACGGCTGTTTATGAGGGTGGATAGTGATAGGACAAGGGGGAATGGCTTTAAACTGAGACAGGGGAAATTTAGATTGGATATTAGGAGGAAGTTTTTCACACAGAGGGTGGTGACACACTGGAACAGGTTGCCCAAGGAGGCTGTGGATGCCCCATTCCTGGAGGCATTCAAGGCCAGGCTGGATGTGGCTCTGGGCAGCCTGGTCTGCTGGTTGGTGACCCTGCACATAGCAGGGGGTTGAAACTGGATGATCTTTGGGGTCCTTTTCAACCCAGGCCCTTCTATGATTCTATAATTAACGTTATCCGGTCGAGACAGGAGCCAGTATTCTAAAACCTTTTTTAATAACCCTAATGAAAATTGTTCCTTTTCTTTATTGAAGTTATTAGTCAAAACTTGAAAGTGAAATATTTATAGCATAAAGATACCCCATTTACCTATTTCATATAAGCAGACATGTTGAATCTCCCTTTGGTCGGTTGCAAGTTCCAAAGCAGTATGAAACGAAGCCAAGGCACTATTGATTTGACACTAACAAAGGTGAAAGAGGGAGGAGGGGGAAAAAAGGTTAAAAAAAAAAAATCATATATCTGAAGTTATCAAAATCAAATCATCCATCACATTTTAAAGAACACAATCAGCTTCGTGTTAATATGAGTTTAAAAATAACAAAGGAGTGAAAACAGATAGCACTGTAATACAGAGTGCAGCCTCAGGTTTGATTAGATGAGAGGCAAAACATCCCAGTGAGAAGAAAAACTCAACACCGATTTCAGACTTGAAACCAATTAAAAGTCACCACGGAGCTAACTGAAAGAGAAGGGATAACACTCCTTTGCATACCAGCTACACACTGCACTTTGGCCAGCTTCCCTCCTCCCACCTATTTACATCTGATCACTTCTGAATGGAAGCAGGACAAACTGTGACAAAGCCTTTATTTACAACAATGAGCACACCTCTTAAATAGGTCCTATACTGAAGGATTTTTCCCCATGTTTCATATTAACAATATAACGTAATACAATAACAAGAAAACATAATGCAATAACCAAATTAAAAGCAAAAAAGGAAGTATCACTAATAAAAAACATCTATATATCTATATTTAAATGAAATCTTACACAAGAACACAAAGCACGTACCTGCAAAGTAATAATAATCAATTCTAACACATACAAAAATAAAAATTAAATCTATGGTATGGAACCTGCCTTCAAACAGTCACATAAAGAGAGAAAGAAGGGGGAAGTGGAAGGATACTGGAGGAGTTTAATAATGTAACAATGATCACCCATAACTCCCAGTCTGTTAAGATAACCTCTCAGCCTTCGAGACCAGCGTCTGTTATTCCTTCTGTTCACTATTAAGTCTGAAATTCACTTGGCAGAGTTGTACCTTAGGACATGCCACTGCTCCCTGCCCTACCCCTGCCCAGCTCTAGAGGATTTCATTTGATTTCCTCATTTGTCTCCTCAGGGAGAACCATTTGAGATGCTTTACACTGCATCAAGACAGCACAACTGCCAAAGTTACAGTAGCTGTAACGGTATAAACACTGAATACTTAGAAAACAAAGCAATGACTAAATGAAGATGTTTGTGGGTATGACAGAGGAGTGTAACCCATCTGCCTTTCTGTTGAGCATATTTGCCCTCAAAGTTATCAGGGAGCCTGTGCAACACACAGCTTGCTCTGTTCTACAGCAGCACATGCTCCTCAGCACACATTATCAGAAAAAACTGAAAAGAAGTGCCAAGTGTTTTCTGCATAAGCTTTCCTTAAGCATCAAGCTCAGTGAGCATGCTACAGAGATATTCCTCAATAACTGAAAGTATCAATTATCTCCAGGCACTGGGACAACATGCAAAATACGAATTTCTACTCATACTGTTAATTCTTAAAATAAAATTAATTGCCACCTACTTACTGTTTCAGAGAGTAGAACGTAAGAATTATACAGGCAGATGAGTCAGCAAGTAGAACATCAAAGCTGACTTTTTACAGTTAAAATAATGAGAGTTAGACAAATACAAATGTACACACAAATGTGTAATTCCTTGGTCTTTACTTATTCTTCTCTTGAACATAACACAAAGACAATACAAAGTTCATTCTAAAAAACCCACTCTCAGTTTCAGTGCTTCTTTTTACTCTTGCCCAGCCTAGTTCTCCTTTCCAGACTACCCCAACCCTACATCAGAAAAAGATAACTGAAAAAAATCAAGAGAATGTGCCAGCAGTGTATTTAGGAATGTAATATCACTGCACATTTTTATTACTCTGCAGATTGAACACTATAGCACACCTGAGCAAACCAGTGGTGTTTTGCCAGTCATGGGAGTACTTGGTAATTTTTCTGCCTTCAACTATGTCAGAATCTAACAGATCAAGCCTCAGAACATGAGGTTGTTTGTTGTTTTGTTTTCGTCCCAGCCCAAAGAGGTGTTTATATATACATACCCAGAATATGGGCAAAGAGAAGTGACCTTGCTCGATACAGGATTCTTTCACAGTTTGGTTTTGCCCTGTGCCCTCACCTCCCTCCACATGAACCTATCAGTCTCTTTTTAAGATGTTTGGGCTGTTTTGTCCAATTTATAAAAGCAGATTAAGATCTTTAAAAGGTGTTGCTGTCTACATAAAAGAGAAAGCAATATTGCAAGCTAAAAGGCAGAAATACATCAGATCCAGAACACTGTTTTTCCCAATTTTTTACTCAGAGGTTGGTGAGGCGCTGGCACAGCTGCCCATGTAAGCTGTGGTGCCCCATCCCTGCAGGTGCTCAAGGCCAGGTTGGATGGAGCCCTGGGCAGCTGAGCTGCTGGGTGGCAGCCCTGCCCATGGCACAGGGAGGGACTGGGTGAACTTCTATGTCTCTTCAAACTAAGGCATTCCATGATGTAGAAACTAGTTAGCTGTATGTTAGTTACAATGTGAGTGTAAGCACACTTCTGGTTCAGATAGTTGGATAAATGCTGCAAACCAATGCCCAAATCTGCAATATTTATACGGACACTCAACAATCTCTCAGCACTACAGTACTCATGAGAACAAAGCAAGAGCAGGGAAAAACCCCAACTGTTGAATGGTCAGCTCCCATGCAAACAAATGTGTGTATAGGAAAGGACCAAATTCCTGTTAGCAACTAGAAAGCATTCTGCTGACCATGGCATGGTTACAAATGGTATCCTGCCTATTCAAGCTAACTACTTTGTTAACCTTGCCACGTGGCCTCTAGCACTATTTTAATTGGAGCTAGACTTGGACATCTATAAAAATCACCATTTTATATACAAGCACTCTAAAATAACACTTGCAACACTGTAATTCTCTACTGCTTCCAGAATGACAGAAGAAACGCATCACAATAAATAAGCCACATGCAAGAGGATGCCTGCAAAATGATATAGGCCACAGAAGACTGCTCTTCTGTTCTGTTGCTGCAGCTACTTTCCTCAAAATTAAGCTGCATTTGTGATAATTAACTGCAAACCGTAGCAAAAGAATGGACACCAATATCAAGTTCTTAAATTATGAGAACGTTTTGTGCTCTTTGGTTGTGTTTCCTTGATGATGAATGCCTTAGAAATGCCTAAATGCCTTAGAAATACTCTGGACTAATAAACATAGCAGTGCAGTTGTCTGGAGTACTTCTACCATCTTGGATTATTCTTAAAGAATAATTGAGCCAAAAGCCACAAGGTTGCTGCAATGTTAGAAGAATACCATTCTGCAACAGCATTCACAACCACATTTCCATGGAATGCATTCTGCTGGGTCATGGCTCACCATAGCAACAGAAAACATCCTGTTTTGTTCTCTTAAATGCAAAAGCAATTATTTGAGGGAAATTACTGAAGATGATTTAGCTGTAAGCGAACAATGCATAAAATGAAAAGCAGAAGATAAATGCTATGTACTCAGTAGCTAATACTCAGATTTCAGCTTGACAAGCGAAACCCTAATGCCTATTTGTACCACAAGAAGTAACCAAACAAGGTTACTTACAGCACAGAGTTACAATATAGTGTAAGAATTAGAATTTCAAAGTGCTAATAAAACAGACAGGAGCACAAGGGTTGATTTGGCATGCAAACCTGCAACTAGGAAGAAATTAATCCTCTCTTCTCACTTATCTTACTGTACATCCGTATCTTCAGTCACAATTTATTAAAGTTTGCCCAGTTCATTCACATCAGAAAAACATCAGATAGCAGGGGGAGGAGATGGGGAAAACATCAGCCAAAAGAATAGAAAGATGCAGTACCTCTAATCGTTGTATTCTTCCCTTGAAGAACATGAACAGAGAAGAATTTGGGTAAGCAGATTCTTTCTTTGCAAGAATCTCTTTTGCCTCTTTCAATCCTGCCTTGTTATCGCTGCCATCAAGAGCAAAAAAGGGGCGAACAACTGTATGGTACCACAACAGAGCTAATCTGAAAGGAACACAAGAGCAGAAATGATTACAGCTCATAAACAGAGATTTCAAGATAATGATCCTGAAAAACAAAGGAGAGGCATCTATAAGTTCTTATACAGCCTGACTATAGAACACAACTCTACCACCATGCGCCACCACACAGCGTACGTACAATTCACTGCACTTAACCAAAAGCAAGTAACCATCAAGCTCATAGTATGTATCAAAGCATCATATCCATTAACTCTTTACAAGCCTACGGATTTTAAAACAGGAAAACCCACAGGAAAACAATAGAATGTAATCGTTCACTGGGAAACAAAAATAACACAAACCAACCCCACTCCCCAGCACATATACACACCTGAAATCAATGTAAAACAGAAATATATCTGGTGTTTGGAAGGGCAGACATCTACATGACCTACATCACTCACAAGAAAAGAAGGGCAGAGCACAGAGCTTCCCAGGGCCAGCTGAAGGAATACCTGCTTCACCATCACGCTGGGGAAAAGAATGCTGCATTTTCCCCCCCAGAAATGACACAAAAGAAATCAAAAGGAACATTTAACCTTAATGTTTTTCTTAACATTTCTTAATCTTTAAGAAATATATCTCCTCAAGCAGAAGAAACTAGCTCTGATGTCAATATTTCAGAAGCGACATCTGAAATTACTTAAAGTAGGTCCAACAATAGAAGCATTAATTTGGAGAGAATGTGATAAACTGTTCTCATAAATAGCTTTAAATAACATCAGAGTAACCCTTCATCTAAGAAAAAGACCTGAATGTAACACAAAGAGTTGGAGAAAAATAGGTATATGAAAGGTCAAAGAACAAAAAGACAGTAAGGAAACACTCAATTTTCCCCAGATCTAACATTAAAAATAAACTGGAAAGACTGTTGTATTAAGGATAAATAATTGACATCAGTTACTCTCATACAAAACAGTACGATCTCCCCATAGAAGAGATCTACTGAGCATTCCAGAGATGTTTGTATTTACTAACATATGGGTTACTAGACACCAGAATAAAAGGAGCTGAAGAATACAGCACAACACCAACAAACCCCAAGCACGCAAACAACTGTCAGCAGAGAGATCTAGTGCACTAGTAAGTGATGAATTCACTAAACCATGGCATATTAAACAACAAGCTGCAAGTTTATTTTACCTGCTGTTGTTTTCTTTAAAGCAACATGACTTTTTTTTTTTGGCTTTGATCTTTTTTCCCCCATTTACTTACTTTCAGTACTATGTTATCTACCAAAGCATTTCAATATAGCTACTCACGTAGCTAAAGGGGCCTTCATGTCCTTACTTTCACTTGCATACATCAGTGAAGAAAGCCCCTGCAGGCGGTCTCCAGGAAAACCCAGCAGGTTGATGATTTTGAGCAGGTTTGGGGGCACCATGGATATGCAAAGATGAAAAAGTCCATATCCAAAGCTAACAGCACCTTTCAGTCTGTTTAGCGAATCCTCCGTTACACCTTCTGCAGCAACATGATTATCATTTGCAGCGTCAGAAGTCAAGGATTCCTGAGTAGCTTTCTTCTGATAAATCTCCTGTAGCGTATTAATGTCCGTATAGCACTTATTGTAAATCTTCCAGGCTTTTCGGAGGATCCATCCACCTTTTATGTATGCTAAATGTCAAGGAAAAAAAACATTTCAAGAAAGGTATTTCAGAAGCGGAACACAGTCAGGAGGAAACGCTGCTTCACGTATCCCAGGATGCTCTCCATCAGCATTAAATTAACACTGCACAAAGGATTTTGCAAAATGAGCTGCTACTGTCACGTACAAGAGATCTTTCGTATTGAGTAATACAAACTTCAGTGCTTCTCAGAGACCTTTACACAGTGCGCCACACAAAGGGACTTTCCTGCAGCTATCCAGCAGTACAACTGGCAGGAAGAAATACAGAAGCCAAAACAGTTTCATGCTGGATTCTGTCCCACTGCACAATAGAGACAAAATCACTGTTTGGCAGAGAAATGTTTGAAAGAGGTTTTGCCTGAAGTTCCAATCACGTTCAAAGCAAGTTTATGGAAAAACACTTAAAATGGAGAAAAGAAACAAAAATCCTTCCATTGGGTTAGACAACAAGGATTTCAACATCATTATTACCCCCATCCCTCAAACTGTGAAATACAGGAATTTATAATTTAAAAAAAATAATTGATAAAAACAGAAAAGGGAAAAAAAAAAAAAAGACTAAAAATCTATGTTTTCAAATACGTTTCAGTTGCCTGGCTTCTTAAATTTCAAATGCAAGCTGGGTACTTAAATGTCCCTAAAAACCTGGTCTTGACCATTCCCAGTTTAGAATGGGAAGCCTGAGCCTTCCTGCCCACTCTACAGGAGGACACGACAGCAGAATATGATGCCAGATCTTTGTGCTTGCACAGCACCCATCCTGGTTACAGCACATCCCTGGAGAATAGCAGAAGTGGTGAACAGAAAGCAAACAGAGAATATACCTGTGTGCATTCACTGTAGAAGCTGACATAAACATTCTGTCTGTGTTCAAGCCTCACGAATTACAAACTGCACTGACAAAGGTTTTAAAGGACTGAAAATGAGAAAAAATAAAAGGACAGAGCAGTGGTGTTCTAAATGGGTACCACCGAGTTTGCAGAGGTCAGCATTATCAGTGATGTCAGAAATAGATCAGAAATTGTGGCTTACGTCAAACAACAGGAAAATGCTGATTCCCAGCCACTCTGTATTTGACATAATAAATAAGTAAATTCATCACTGATTAGATTACTCCTTTTTCAATTCTGTTTATGCAAAGCTGGTTTGATAATCTCAAATTACAGTGAGAAAGATGGCAATTTTTATTTTCCCAGATGTCAACGTGAACAGAAAGCATCTTTCAAATGAATCCTGTATCTTGAGCTCCGTATTAAACCGTTACAAGAATAAAAGCAAATCTGCTGCCGTGATTCAGCTGCATTATGAGACTTATGTTAGTCCAGTTCTCAGCAATTAGGTCACTTTTTGGCTGTGCAGAATATTTCAAGAATTATGTGGTTCACCACAAGATGAATACTCAACAACTTTTAATAGTAAAGCAATAGACAAATCATCATAGAATGGCCTGGGTTGAAAAGGACCACAATGGTCATCTAGTTTCAACCCCCCTGCTAGGTGCACGGTTGCCAATAAGATAACCAAGACGTTTTACTTATCCTATAGATCACATTACTGTTAATAGCTTTGAAAAAGTACTACATTCAGGCATGGGCATCAAGCAGAACTGACATGAGTGGGAAATAGTATAACTCGAGGCTTTATCTTCACCAGTGAGCTGCCACTAACAGCTTGTTAAGACCAGGAGATTTACAGATTTGATATGCTCAGATAAAATCATCTAATACAATAAAAAACTGAATTTATGATTCTTTAAACATAAGAAAGAAACCAAGCCCAATCACCAAGCTGAGATTTTTCAGGAAGAACTTCTCAAAGTAGCTATCGTGTCCACGACAGCAGTTAAGAAAATGTAGTTCAATATTGCTGTTGGAAGCTACTGCAAGTTGCTGTATTAGTAACTTCTTGATGAAACTATTTTTGTTACATCCACGAGGGTGGAGAGGAAAACTGAAAATGTGCTAGGCATATGAGAAAGCAGCTTGCATGTCATCATATGCTTCTTGTCAAACTGAAGAAAAACGTACGAAATTTTTCACTCATCATCCACTGATCAGCAAAATGTATCTGCCTCTGTACTACTTTGAAATGAGACTCATTTCAGTAATCCGGCTGCTATTTCAGTACAGAAACATCACCACAAAAGCAAGATGTTTATACATAATCAGAAAGATAATACACTCAGAAAATCTGAAAAAACTGACCCAACAATTTAGCTAAATGGCGTCACAATGGCAGTAACTAACAGTCATTGACACTGCATGAAACTGCTTCAAATTTTAACTAAAGATTTCAGGTTTATTTTTTCCTCAGTAGAATAACCCAAATACAGTGCATGCTCTGCAGATCTCTGCTACCCACTTCAGTTCTCTGAGCAGTAGACAGGAGAGAAAGGGCACACACACCACTCAGTTATAGTACCCAACCCACTTACAAAGCTGGAGGGTAGGAAGAGAGGCAAAAAGGAAAAGGAAAAAAAAAAAGAAAGCAAAGACCTACAACAGCATCAAAAATAAGAAAACCTTTCTGCAGCAGTTGACATCGACATGGCAATCAAAAGCATGCCCTGAATTTCTTCTAGCCAACCTGGCTTGAAAGAAACCAAGTCTGTCTTACATAAGTAACTCTGTCCTTCACAGGAAGATTTTAATGTTTCAAAGGATCTTAGTGTTATTTCCCCAAATTTCTTACAGCTGACCAGCAGGGATTTCACTGATAGCCTGCTCTGGCTGCCACCTCTTGATGTTCACTAATTCTTACAAGAACCTGGAAACGTGTTCCCTTTGCACGTGAGCTGTACCGCCTTCTCTGTAAACTCATAGACGAAGGAGTGTTTTAGGACTGTGCATAAGAAGAACCTTTTGAGCAGCTTTTCAGATGAGACAAGGAGGTTTGTATTCAGTAAGACGGGATTAACCTTTTTGGCACACAAGGACACAGCTGGGAAAGAATAAGAACTGATTCAGCAGTTTAAACTTGAACATGGTTCATTTAAAATTACTTTCACTGTCATCTTGTCATCTGTGTCGTCACTGCCATAATGCCTATGGGACACACAGGTGGCTGGGCTTCAGCTCTTTATAGCCTCTTTTCTCACACGGGCCACAAGTAGCACACAGATGATAAGCACCTTTGTACCAACTGCTCTAACACCCCTATGGGACTATGCAAAAGATTCCAACCAATCTAAGGTGAATCTGTCGGTTCCAAAAAAAAGGAGGAAAAGCTGTAATCTGTACCAATACAACTTACTTATCATACTTTTGCATATACAAAGGTAAAAAAAATACCTCTCCAAGCGCACCAAACTGGGGACATTCACCCTTTGTCTCAAATGGAACTATTCTCTTACAACAGAATCAACTTAATTGATGTGAACACTTATCTTGCCATATTAAGGTCAAGCTTTACTACAAAGATAACATGCAAAAAATACATACAAACATTAAAGCCACAATGCACCTGATAATTCTTGTTTTACAAACGAGAGCACAGCCAAGTAGACTTGACAGTCCGCTACAATGATTTGTCTTTGCAGACGATCTATCATGGATAGAGGAGATTTTCGCCCATCAACCTGTTTGGAATAACACAAGCACAGAAATTTCAGCAAAGATAACAAAGAATACTAGCCTAAACCTGACAACTAACAAATCCAAAACCAACCGCAAGCATTTTCATGGGCAAAACCCATGCTAAAATTTCTTTGATAACTCATCAAGCAAACTCCTGATTAATAAGTAGGAAAACTTCAAATATTTGCTATCGATATCACGTCTTACTTCTCAGTCTGCATGCTTTATTCTTCCTTCATTATTTAGAATGAAAAATCTAGGAAGGGGAAAACTCCCTATGAATATGCCTGGCACTTTCATGCAGGCTCAATCTTATCTTTTGGGCACTGCTAGAGCATACATGAATGAAACTCAGCCTGAATCAGCCAGGCTACGAGCTTCCTGAAATAACTCTAGTAGCTCACTAATTTGAGGTCTGATGAAAATAACTGCTAACATTGACATAACATCCCACTTTAAAAGAGGAAATGCTTAAATGTGACTACTGTATGACACAAGATTTCAAACTGTGATGTTCAACTTACTTTCTACGTTTACTGTTTATCTGAACTGCTCTTCATATATCAAAAACCATCTAGCAAAAAAAAAAAAAAAACAGCCAACAAAGCACAGAAGGGAAGTTTCCAGAAATATTTATCCAATATATGATTCCACATTTTACAGATAATGCTCTTACATTCTTTTTAATTTTATTCTTGATTGTTTCAATAACTCCAGCTTCGTCACTCTCACATAGCTTTTCTGTAGCCTTTAAGTCATCACATGCCAGCTGCATTTTCTCCTCTTCAAACGTCATCATGGCATTCTGCCAAAAAACAACAGAAATTTGGGAGATAAAAACGAAATGTTACTATTCCTGCAAAAGCTGCAGGAAGTTTTGATGAAAGCTTTCAAGAGATCTGACTACAAAATTTCCTTTTTCATTAACGTATCAATATCAACACATACATCAGCACGTATACTTCTACAAAGAAGCAAACCAGAACCTGAGCGTGCCTTACCAAAACCATACAACCGACCAGATCCTATTAACTAAGACTTCTCCCCTTGTCTTAATAAAATTTCATATGCTATCAAACTGAGTACATTGTCACACTGCATTAAGTGCAAGAGGAATCTGTGAAAACTCGCTTTCAATTCTTGTTACGTAAGGCACCATTTGCTTCCATGCAGAAGATACTGCTTTTATGTAACTCATCCATAGAAATAATGGAATCACAGAATGGCCTGGATTGAAAAGAACTGCAATGATCACCCAGTTTCAACCCCCTGCTATGTGCAGGGTCACCAACCAGCAGACCAGGCTGCCCAGAGCCACATCCAGCCTGGCCTTGAATGCCTCCAGGGATGGGGCATCCACAGCCTCCTTGGGCAACCTAGTCAGTAATACGTGACAGCTACTGCATAATAAGTAAATAGGAACCAGAATTCCTACATGTGTAAGAAGGAAAAACCAATTAGGAAAAAGAAAACATGCATCAGACCAACTATCACTGGACGAATTCAGAAAGAATTTAGGGACAAGTAACTTCTCTCTGCTTTACTAAACAAAAGCCCTGAAAGACACAGACATGCAGAGTGCTGCAGCTATGTTTAGAACAGTAGCTAAGCAAAATATGTTCAAGATCCACTGATGCTGTTCTCTGATGTTACCCTGGTTCAATGCATCAATTCAGATAAGCAAACCTGGGAGATTCTTCCTCTTTCCCTTCTCCCTTCCTTGACTCAAAACCAAATCACACACCACAGATTTCCTAACCAATATTTTCCCTTGTACTGCATACAGACCTTACAGAGAATTCAAGTTAACTTCATTTACAACATATTTATTTCTAGCAAATGGCATAAATTCTGACTTTAAAAAGAATATTAGCACTGGCAGTTCCTGGTGCAATCTAACACTAAGCAGCAATATCAGGATAAAGACAGTCTAAAATTAAGATCTGCTCCCTTTTTTAAAAAGATATTCTCATTTTTAATACAGTTTAATTGCAACAGCAAAAGCTATTATGAAAACGTTATGAGTGTTATTGTAATAGTACCTCTATTGCACATATAAGAGAGGGTTTTCTTATGGCTCTCTTATTGGAACACATAAATATTTCATATGTTCTGTGATTCAGCTTCTCAGACATTTACTTTCTATTTAAATCACATCAGTAAACAAGTTTTATATAACGTAAAGACTTGTTTCCTTCATACCCCTCACCTAATGCTTTGAAAAAACTAAGTCTCATAAAAAGAAACAGATTAAAGTATCCATTACTATGAATTCATGCATTCACATACAAACATTCACCTCCACCATTACAAACTCAAGCATTCACGTACAGACATCAACCACAAGAGCAGGGATCTATGGTTACTCTCTGCTCCCATCTACTCACCAAAAAACTGACAAAACTGGCTCCAAAACTCATCAGCGGGCTATGATTTCTGAAAAGGAAACAAAGAGCAGTTAACTCTACACACATTTTCAATTGGAAAGACTGATATTACACTTCTTGATTTTGAATAATACATCAGTAAATAAATGTAGGTGATTTTTTTTTTTTTTTTGGCTGGTTGGTGGGGTTGGCTTTTTTAGGTATTGAGTTGCATCATTCAGCAAAACCTAATGGAAATGGAAAGACAAATTATAATTATATGTGGGCACACCTATTCATCATTTCTACTAGGACTTGAATATATCTTCAAATAATTTTTGCACATTAAGCTGTTGATTTTATTTATTAAGAGCAGCCACTGCCACGAAAACACATTTCAAACATGACAAAAAAAAATAATTTCAAGGTAGCAAACTTTCAAAATCCACTGATTTTACTCTTCTTCACCATGTATCACTACTATTTTGATTTTGCACACAAATGTTAAGTGGTTCTATTAAGAGATTCCCACTTCTCCCTCCACTCATAAAGCTAATTCATTTCAATTATAAATAATAAATCACATGCCACAGAAGTTGTTAGAAATTAAGTTCCAACAAAGCACGTGGGTTTTTGCTGCTCTATTCTAAAGAAAGAATACATATCTTACTCCACTACATGGAACAGTTCTAAGATAATTTGCTGCTTAAAAAACTACATCAGGTGTTCTCTTTGCTGTGAGTCAACGTGAATAGTCACCAGGAAACCTCTGCTGTTATTCCCTATCTGGAATGCTGCCTACCAACAGCTGTGTTATAAAGAGAGCAGCAGTCAGCTACACAAGTTAAATGCGCTGCCTCCAGCACTCTCAGCACACGCTGCCTATCTCATCATCCTCCTTGTAACTCATGAGGCATGCAGTTCCCAGCCTCACCACTCTGCTCCAGAGCGTGTAACCTCCACCATACATCTCAAGGGCACAAGCACTGCAGCACCAACACTGCACGCCCACAGCTGCCCAACAGACCAGCACAAGAAATAGTTCCGCTCGTGCCCTTATGTACAAAGTCACACTTACATCATACCTTCAAGAAAGCTCAAAAATAAAGTAAGTGTTTTCCCAGGGAGGTGGTTGAATCATAGAATCATAGAATCATAGAATCACCAAGGTTGGAAAAGACCTAAAAGATCATCCAGTCCAACCGTTCACCTATTCCCAATAGCTCCTACTAAACCATGTCCCTCAATACAACATCCAGTCTTTGCTTGAACACCCCCAGGGTTGGTGACTCCACCACCTCCCTGGGCAGTCCGTTCCATTGCCTGACCACCCTTTCCGAAAAGTAATACTTCCTCATGTCCAGCCTGAATCTCCCCTGCCGTAGCTTGAAGCCATTCCCCCTGGTCCTATCACTAATGACACGAGAGAAGAGGCCGACCCCCAGCTCACTACAGCCTCCCTTCAGGAAGTTATAGAGAGCAATGAGTTGCTCTCTATAATTGAGTGATCGTCCCTGGATGTGCTTAAAAACTGTTTGGATGTGGTGCTCAGGGACATGATTTAGCAGTGAGTTGTTAGAGTTAGGGTAGTATGAATAGGCTGTGGTTGGACTTGATGGTCTTTAAGGTCTTTTCCCACCTGAGTGACTCTATGATTCTAAGATTTTTCAGCTTCCCAAGATCTGCGTATTCAGAGAGAAAGCAGGACGGCCAAGGCAAACAAGGTGGCAAATTTGGGATAAATATCTAGGTGTATTTTCAAACGACGTGTCAGAATCCTGATTCAGCACCTGTAGATAGTCAGTGTTTCATACTGAAATCCATTCAGAGCAAATTCAAAGTCGACGCCCTCAACAGACTTTTTAAAACATGGGGGAAAAGATCAACAAGCCAAAAGGTGTGCCATAAATAATGACTGGACTTTCCATTAAATCCTGAGAATGCACTTCTCGAGCTCATTCTTCAGCTTCCATCCACACTGAAAATGTCACTTTGCTACTAGGCACGGATCAAGAGGTTACTTTAAGGGAGAAATTAAAATTCAAGCGTCTCAACATGTGTTAAAATGAAAGAAAAAAAAAAAAGCTGAAGTTTTATGCCTTGTACTAAAATTCTGCAAAACAGAACCAAGATGGGGAGGGTTTGTTTCCTCCGCACACAGAAACTGATGGAATACACACAGCAACATTTGGCTCTCAGAAGGAAGCAGCATCCATGCGTTCCTTAGGACTTGGCAAGGAATATAGGAATCTTCTCACTGAAGTATAAACGCAAATTAAATACTGTGGAACTACAGAACAAATAGTAGAACTGATCCATACGAAAATATTTTCAATTCAAGGCTGTTGTTTTTTTTTTTAAAATGAATATTTATAAACACAGATACTCTGTTACAGAAATAACTGCAGAAGCTTAAAAAGCTTGAAATACATCAGATTCAGATGTAAAGTGATTCCCTACCAAGGGAACAATATTTTCAAACAGAGCGAGTGAATTTAGGCCACGTTTGGGAGCAAAGCTGTTAAAACTGCATAAACAACACAACAGTGGAGATTGAAACAGCACAGCATCTCATCCAGCACCTCAATAGAAAGACCAAAAGGAGCAGGCCCTTCCAACATCTTCCAAAATACCTGTTTGCCTTACCTTTTTAGGATGTAGGAACCTGTTTTTAAGAGCGCATATATGTATTGAAATATTGATGCCTACACATGCATTTTGAAAGCCTTTATATTTCTAGTGGGAGAATTTGAATACAGCAGTAGTTACATTTAAGAGTCAACTGCTCTTCCAGGATTACAAGACTCTGAACTGCTTATAGCAAGTAACAATCATTAAAAGAAAAAAAAAAAATTAAGAAAGACAGATTTTCAAGCATATTTGTCTAAGTTGATTTAAGAAAACTTGAGAAATTTTTCAAATAAATATTTGTCAATACACTTCAACACAGCTCTTTGAAACTCTCAGTGCCTTCCCTGGGAGCATTCAAAGCCAGGCTGGTGGGAGCTGTGAGCCACCTGGTCAAGAGGGAGGTGTCCCTGCCTATAGCAGGGGGTTGGAGCTAGATGATCTTAAATGTCCCTTCCAACCCAAACCATTCTGTGATTCTATGACTTACAATTCTTACCCAGACAATGAAAAATGAGAGAAAAATCATTATTCTGAAAAGATCGCTCAGTGTAATGCATGAGGTAAAATGCTGCAGATTGAATGACTGAAAATTAAAGAAGACTCTGTATAAAAGCACTGTCAATACAGAACACGTGGGCCCTGAAGCAAGAAAACACAACATGTAACATTATACTGCATCTTGGAGATGCTTCTCGTTGACACCAGGAAAGTCTGGCAACTAAATCATGGCAATTTCACAGCAGCAGACTCTTGCTCTTAGTTTGTATCTCAACTGAATTCGCCTTAGCTATGTTAAGGCACATGGAAGGCAGGGAACTGACATGGAAAAACCAGCATGGCTCCACCAAGGGCAAATCCTGCTTGATCAACCTAGTGGCCTTCTATGATGGTGTCACTGCATCAATGGACAATGGAACAGCCACTCATGTCATCTATGTCAACTTCAGTAAGGCCTTTGACACTGTACCCAACGACACCCTTCTCTTCATGTTGGAATATATGGATTTGATGTGTGGACTGCTTGATGGACAAAGAACTGGCTGCAGGATTGAGTCCAGAGGGCAGTGGTCAATAACTCCATGCCTGGATGGAAATCAGTGATGACTGGTGTCTTCAGGGGTCAGTGCTGGGAGCAATTCTCTTTAATATCTCCATCAGTGACACTGACACTGGGGTCGAAGGCACTCTCAGCACATTTGCTGATGATACCAAGCTGTGGGGTGCAATCACTACACCCAGACAGGCTTGAGCAGTGGTGAACCTTGGTGAACCTCATGAAGTTCAACAAACTCAAGTGCAAGATCTTGCACCTGGGTCAAGGCAATCCCAATTATCAATACAAGCTGGGGGATGAAAGGATTGAGCACAACTCTGCCTAAAAAGACCTGGTGTTACTGATGGATGGCAAGCTAGACATGAGCCAGCAATGTGCCCTCAGCTCAGAAAACCAACTGTATCCCGGGCTGCATCAAAATGAGTGTGGCTAGCAGTTAAAGGGAGGTGATCCTGCCCCTCTACTCTGCGCTGGTGAGATCTCACCTGGAGTACTGCATTCAGATGTGCTGTCCTCTGTACAGGAGAGACATGGAGCTGTTGGACAGTGTCCAGAGGAGGACCACAAAAGTGATGTAAGGGATGGAACAGCTCTCCTACGAGGACAGGCTGAGAGAGCTAGGGCTGTTTAGCCTGGAGAAGGCTGCAAGGTGACCTGATAGCAGCCTTTCAATATCTAAAGGGAAGCTGCAGAAAGAAAGGAACAAACTCGTTAGCAGGGTCTGTGGCGACAGAATGAGGGGAAATGGTTACAAGCTCAGAGAGGCTGGATTTAGGTTAGATAAAATCTTTTACAGTGTGGGTGGTGAGGCACTGGAACCGATTGCCCAGAGATGTGGTTGATGCACCATCTTTGAAGACTTTCAAAGCAAGGCTGGATCAGGCCCTGTGCAACCTGATCTAGCTGCAGTGTCCCTGTTCATTGCAAGGGATTTGGACTAGACAGCCTTCAGAGGTCCCTTCCAACTCTAAGGATTCTATGGTTCTATGATACATGGGATAAGGAATGCTTTACCATATTCCTGCCTCGTTTGGATAGAAATTACAATTGCAACTTTATGGAAAACCATTTGTAGATGTAATTTCAGTGTTTAAAGTCCATTTTAAGCAACAACTGCACTTAGTATTCAACCTTCACAAACATTTTGCTAAATAATTTCTTCAACAGCTTAATGTTATCTTCACCTCTAGAGCTAGGAAAAAGTTGGTAATGATACGGTACAATTGCAGCAACCACTAACACATGACAGATGACCAAAATAAGTTTCTGAGAAAAGCACACTTCCAAGAAAATAACCCTCCATTCAATGTATTCTGAAGGCACAACTTCACATCCTTCTCAAAAACCCCAAAAGATGTAAGATTAAAAACAAAACAAAAAAAAAA